TCTTTGATATGAGGTAGCGTTCAATGATATAAATTATAACGAGGATCTTGAATTCAAATCTGTCATATAGTGTGGACAGATAAATGGTTGGCCAAGTAAAATGCACAATTCAAGTATATTTTGTTTCACTTAGAAAAGTGACATTTTGGACTGGTAGTCCATAAATCAAGGTATAATGTCAGTGGGGTACAAATAAATTATTATGCGATAGTATAACCGTAAGATATCAAATACGGTTTGTGCCTTGGGGCATGGAGATTTATCGCAAAAATTCTCACATTATTGGAGATGTTTTCCGCTTTGGTGGATGCAATGAGGTTTGTTTTGATCTGGCAACATATGAAAAACTTGAATGCATGTAATGAATAATTGTAATGTCTAGCTAGACAATGAAGGTTATATGAAAATCTTTGAAACAATTGAGGTGTCTGAAGCATATAAGAGTTTGAAAGAAACTTTTTCAATAAAGCTTCAAGAATCCTTATATGGATTGAAATAGTCAAGGAAAAAAAGGGTACAAAAGAATGATCCTAATTGTCCTTGTATTTTTATGAAAAGGTCTTGGTAAGACAAAATTTTGTCTTGACCTACAGATTAATAATTTGACAAATGAAATATTTGTCTAATAGTGCACATACACTGAAAAGTTTTGATGCAATTTATATGGATAAATCGCATTCATTGAGTACTCCAATGATTATGGTATCACTTGACATAAATGATGATTCAGTTTGATTTCAAAAGAAGGATGAAGAGTTTCTTGGTGATGAAACTCTATATCTTGGTGCAATCAGGGCACTAGTGCATCTTACTAACAATATTTGACCAGATATTTGTTTTGCAGTAAATTTACTGGCAAGATTTAGTTTCTCCCTGATAAAAGGACATTGAAATGGTATTGAGCACATGATTGAATATCCTCGAAGGACCATAGTTATGGATTTATCCTATTCCGAGGAATCCAAGACAAAATTGATTGTTTATGCAGATGCAGAATATTTATCTGATCTGCATAGAGCACGATCTCAAACACGCTATTTATTTTCATGTGGAGGCACAATAATATCCTGGCTATCAATAAAGCAAATGTTGCTGCACAGAAATAAAAGTCCTCCATGAAACAAGTCGAAAGTGCGTCTGGTTGAGATAAATGACACACCATATTCAAGAAATGTGTGATTTTTCTTTGAAAAAAGAATATACCAACCACAATGTACGAAGATTGTAGACATCATCACAAGAAATTAAGTGATGTTTTAATCAGAGGGAGTATAATACGCGTTGCACTCTTTTTTCCTTGACCGAGGTTTTTCCCACTGGGTTTTCCTGGCAAGGTTTTTTATGAGGCAACAAATAGTGCGTATCAAAAGATATGTGTACTTTTTTTCCTTCACTAGAATTTTTTCCCATAGAATTTTTCCTAGTAAGGTTTTAACGAGACACATTATCTATGGACATCCAAGGAGGAGTGTTATAAATTCATTGAATGAGTGGATAGTTCATAAAGTTGGTACATGAACAACAATCCATATTCACTAAGTTTCATGAACCTTTTTGGATAAGAATGTATCTATTTATTATGATACTTAATATGATGACTTTTGGAGTGATTTCTCACTTTATAAATAGGGTTGTTCATTCACTATTGTATGAGATACAAATGAGACTTACATATACTTGAATAAGAAGAAAAATCCTCTTCTTCTATCTATTTCTCTCGTCTTCTTCTCTTTATGATTATAGTCGTATGAGCTTGATTTTATAACACATATTTATATATCATGTCGTAATAGGTTATAATATGATACATCACCGCAAAATATTGAAATTCTGTAATTTTAAATATGAATTAATTACATGAGGGGGTTCTTTTAAAAAATAATTACTTATTTTGATATACTTTATAATTATTATCATTTATAGCAATATATGACAATATTATGTATTTTATTAAAGTGTCTCTTTTTTTTTTTAAATTCGCTCCCCCTCCCCCCCCCCCTTCACACTTTTTCGCTTTATTTTTTCTGTCTCTCTCGCACTCGTTCTTCCTCTCTTCTCTTTACCCACTTCTTTTTATGAGCTCTTTTTCGATCTCTCTCTCAAAAAAAAGAGAAGCAACTAAATTGAATGCAAAATGTGGCGAACAAAAGATCTTATTATCTGTAAATTGAATAAAATTTGTATCAATAATGAATTAAATAAATTAATAGTAACAAAACAACCAATAAATTGTAAAATGAATTAAACTTGTATAAAAAGTGTATGAAAAAAAAATTAAAGTTGAATTAGAAGAGATAATTAATCATGAACAAAAAAAGTAACTAATGAAAGACCAAACGTTGATCTATAGAGTGAATTAAACTTGTATCAATAATGAATTAAACAAGTAATTCAATAGTAAAAAATCAACCAATAAACTGCGAAATATATTAAATTTGCATTAAAAGTGTATTACACAAATACTAAGATTGAATTAAAAGAGAGAATTAGCATGAATGGAAAATGTAACTAATGAAAGACAAGACATTGATCTATAGAGTGAATTAAACTTATATTAATAATAAATTAAATAAGTAATCTAATAGTGACAAATAACAAACTACAAATGAATAAAATTTGCATTAAAAGTGATTACACAATATTAAATTTGAATTAGAAGATAAAATTAAGAATAAATGAAAACATAACTAACGAAAGACAAGATAATAATCTATAGACCAAATTAAACTTGTATTACTCTTGAATATAAATTATCGTTTATGATTTTAATACAATTTTAATACAATTGTGATATAGTTTCATAAAATTAACCTTTTTTGACTTCCAATCTAATATTTTTTTTAAAATTACTTATAAACTTGATCTTAAAATTGAGATATAATCTCCAAACGACATTTTCAATTATTTGTGAGAACAATCTATCAAAACTAATCACAAATTAATAAAATTCAAACAATAAATTTAAATTTTGAAGCTTTATAATAATCATTATTGGTGAGTTCTTGCTGCTTTAACTTTATAGATTTGAAATTTCAGCTTGAAAATATAATTTTGTGTAAATTTTTGATTTTTAATTTCTGTTACTTTTCTCGTCGTATTTTTAGATAAAAATAAAAAATATGAACAAAAACTGATTTGAAAATAGTTATATGAATGAAATTTTAAAGAAAAAGAAGAACAAAAAGGAGAAAGATAAAAGAGAGAGAAAAAAAGACCAAAAAAGAAGAATAAACAAAAGAATAAAAGTAAGCAAAAAAAATGCAGACAAAAAGGCAAACACCTGTGCAATTTATTTAATTTTAAAAGATTATTATAATTAGTTAGAAAATTATATTAACATAAATAGTAAATATTTTTTTTTGATATAGCATATTTTAGTTTTCTATTTAAATATTTTATAATATTCAATGTATTGAAAAGTTTAGTGAAATTACTTTTAAATAAATAAGAAAACCTCATCTTTCTTTTAAACATAAACAAAAAAGAATGATTCCCTATCTTGGGCGGTGGTTGTTGGCTCCTGTCGTTTGTTTATCCGAGGTTATTCTTGTCTGAGCATTTCTTGTCCGAGGTCACCGTTTAATTTATGTGATATTTTTTTAATTTTTTTGAGAATTAATTAATTTGATGAAATTCATATATTCACAGATAATTTAAAAATATTATAAATTATAATAATTGATAATTAAAATGATTAAAAAATTTATAAAAAATTTACAATAAAAAATAAACTTATTTGAGTCATAAAATTAAAGTATCAAATAAAATGAGATAAAAAAAAATACCCACATTATAACAAAAATTAAGTTTGAAATAATATAACTAAAAAGAAGAGAAAATGCATTTGAACAAGTAGATAATATTTTTATTCAGTGTATCTTATAATGATAACATTGGAAAATCCTATATGAAAATTGAAATGTCCAAATTAGATATATCGTTATATAAAACAATTCATATCACCTCAAATATATATATTTCATGAATAAATTAAATAAACAATTTACTAATTCAATCACTATTTATAATCATAATTTTATGTTAAATTTATTTATTATGCGTGTGAACTAAAACAAATCTCCACACTAAATTAAATTACATTGTCTATAATTTGATCTTCTCATCAATGATTGGCAAGAAGGTAAAAACTAATTTTCAACTTTCTATAATGCCTTCCACTTTAGGTATATTTCTATAACATCTTTACTGAGATAATAAAATAATAAAATGTCATTCAATTTATGCATGACATAAATCTATTCGCACTAAGTTTTATTTTGGTTTAATCTATTCTATTTATCGCAAAAATAAAAGAAAATAATTAAAAATAAGAGAATGACATTCAAATTTACAATTTTAAATAGAGTAAATTTTAGGAATGTCAAAGATAAAAATCATATTAATATTTTATAGCTATAATTTTGCTATTTGTGCGTCTCATAGCTAAATTATGTTGCTATAGAGCATCTAATTTGAAATTGTGGCAATTGGTAAATATCGGGCGCTAATTCGTCCGTGTCTATGAAAATTGTGTTTGTATATAATGAATCTGTGTTAGGCTAGAGTGACGAGCGAGATTAGGAGAGAGAGGAGAGAGTTAAACTGTATATGTATATCGGTTACATAATTGTTTATATGTAACTACCATATGTATGTGTATCAATGATTATCTTTGTATATATGCATAAAAAAATAAATTCATATGCAATTGAGTCGTGTTAAAATATTCGTAATTGTATATCAAATCTCTCTCCTCTATATGAACACAAATTATACACTGTATTTAGTATAATTTATATTTGTATAAGTGAGAGAGAAAGAAAAGAACTGGGCAAAAATAGATTTTGTATTTGTATAATTAAAAGAATATAACCAGGAGAGATATGCATTTTTATTTATATATACAGTCTCTCTCGCTTTATACAAACACAAATATAAATTATACATTTATATTTGTATAAAGTGAGAGAAACAAAGAAGAGATGATTGACAAGAATTTTTCGCGAAATGAAAAGGCAGCTATTTAATAGATTCCGACCCAACAAAACTCATAACAAATTAGTTCGAAAATAAAAATAACAGAAGTGAAAAAGCCACGACAAAACTCGAAAAGGAAATAAAAGAGAGGGGGGCATTTGTGGAATTGGTTAATGAGGAGGTGAGGTGTGTTTTAATATGAGCATATAACGTTTATTGGGTAAAAGTGTCTGATGACAGCAAGTTTTGCCCCTGCCAAAGGAAGGCCGGTCCCCGTCGCTGCTTTTTTTTTTTCCGTTCACTCTCAGGCCCGGCCATTTTTTCTGTCATTAATCTTCCTCACAGAAACCCTAATTACTGAAATCTTTTTTTCACATTGTCATAGAAAAAAAAGAGAGGTGGCTGTTTTGTTGTTGTTGTTGTTGTTATCATTCACATTCACCTCATTGTTATAAAAAATCTTAACTTTTGTTTTGTTTGGACAAAAGGGGTGGAGAAAAATTGTGTTGGGTCCTTGTGAGAGGACGGAAAGCAAGAATCTTGGGTCGTTTTGGGTTAGTTTTTTTTTTTTGTTTATTAATCTTTTTAAATTTGTAATCATATGTCAAAAAGTTTTGATTTTTCGTGTGTTTTCTTGATTATGAGAGACTTTTTTCGAACCTCATGATATTGGAATAAGCAAATTTTGAATTCATAGAAGAGAAGAAAATAATAAAAAGTTGATGGGCCTCTGTTCTTGATTTTAATTTGTTTTATACATGATTTATGTACAAGCTGTTTCATGTTCTCATTGTTTTATTCTTTGCAACTCTGGGCTTAAACAGAGTATTTTATTTTTGATGACCCTGGTGTCGAATCAGCTTGCACGTAGCTCGACTAAGTCCAGGGGTATCTGACTTGGGAGGGGAAGAAATCACCCCAAGAAGTTTATTTTATGATTCTCTTCTTTTTGTTATGAGCGGTTTTACCAAAAACAGGGAAATGTCTATCTGCATGTCTCTGACATCATAGCAATGTCATAGCACACTGTTTCTGGATAAGTTTTGTTGTAACTTTGATGTTTCTTCAATTACTTAGTGGTGAAGTATATGTATATTTTGGTACTTATTTTGTAGATATTGTCATTGCATTTGTAGGTTAGCACAAAAGTACAGTCTGTTAGAGTAAAAGTGCACCATCATATTGGCTGGCAAAAGGTGCCTAGATAATAAAGCGAATGTGCTGACTGCCAGAGGAGAACCAGAATTTGGATTTTCAGGTTCAACCTTTAAGTTCTTACTCTTGAAAGTGAGTTCAATTTTTCTTAGTATTTCCTGTAATTGTACTGATTAGCACATATATTTATGCTGTGCATTGTAATTACTGGTTCAGTCTGGGAACAAGGCTGCATCCCCTTCTGCTGACTGCTGATTGCACTGATGACATATTGTTAAACTAAGTTATGAGTAATTTGGTCTAATTATGAGAAATACCATAACAGGAGAAGTTGTCAAGTCTTATACTTAAACCTATCTTCCCCGGTCAATATCATCATACATGTTCTCACTACATACCTTTTCTTGCAGAAAGATCAGGTTACAAGTAACATTTGGAGGGAAACATGGCTAGCAGTGAAGATATTATTCTCTCAGCTGTGCTCAATCTTCTATCTGCATTTGCATTTCTTGTGGCATTTGCTATTCTACGACTCCAACCAATGAACGACAGAGTGTACTTTTCAAAATGGTATCTGAAGGGTATACGAGCAAGTCCGAGAACTTCTGGAACATTTATGAAAAAATTTGTCAACTTGGACTGCAGAACATACCTAAGGTTCTTGAATTGGATGCCTGCAGCTCTAAGAATGCCAGAACCAGAGCTTATTGATCATGCTGGTCTTGATTCTGCCGTGTATATACGGATATACCTTCTTGGGTAAGTTCACAACATTTACAATATTTCTTGTCCATTTCACTTTAAAGGCTATACTTTTTACTGATAACAGAACGCTTTCGGTTATGCTTCCTTCATTGTCACTAGGAACTTTTAGGGGATAAGTGGGCAGAAAAAAATGATTTTAAGTTATTGTTGTCTTTTTATGTATCAGCGCTAATTCCAGTATTATCAATGCAGCTTGAAAATCTTTGTTCCTCTCGCGCTACTTTCTTTTGCGGTTTTAGTGCCTGTCAATTGGTCTGGGAAATCATTAGAGAAAACTGAGGGTCTAACATTCAGCGCTATTGATAAACTTTCGATATCCAACGTGCCGGATGCGTCAAAGAGGTGAGGATTGACTTTTTCCCTTTCTGTATTAGTTTCTCGTGTTGACGTTGTTGTAAAAAAAGCTACTTGCTTCTATTCAACCATTTTATAAAATAGAGTTTCTTGTGTAAAATGTTCATCATAAATATTAAATTGGTAAAGTAACTGCACGTCACAAACCATAATTATATTTTTAATAAAATTCTATAATCAAGGTTTCAAAAAGATATTCACACATATCTGCATGTTTGCAAAAAATGTTAATGGAATATATATTCATCTCAGGTTTTATGGCACCACATTGATGAATTTTATTGTTTCATCACTTCTGTTGCATAGTGAAATAGTAATGTATAAAATAGCACCTCGTTTGGTACTCTTTTGAGGCTTAGCTCCTGCAGTTTCATTTGTTTAGTGGTTTATATAAGGATGATACTTGCTAACTTAAGTCTTCTAAAAAAATTTCAGGTTTTGGGCACACCTGGTAGTGGCTTACGTAGTCACATTTTGGACCTGCTATGTACTGTACAAAGAATATCATATAATAACAACCATGAGGCTTCAGTTTCTGGCCTCTGAAAATCGTCGGCCTGATCAGTTCACTGTAGGTGCATGACATAATTCATTGAAATGTTAGAGTGTTTGGTGTAAACTGTTTGGTTAGTTTACCAGTGCTGTGCTCTTATAGGTCCTTGTGAGAAATGTCCCTCCAGATCCAGATGAATCAGTGAGCGAGCATGTCGAACATTTCTTTTGTGTGAATCATCCAGATCATTATCTAACACACCAGGTCTCTATCCATTTGAATATCAAGAATGATGTATTTCAGAATTCAGACAATGACAGGGAAATATACAGATATTGTTTAATATCATGTCTCCTTCCCTTCTTAGATGACATAGTTATGTTATGTCCTATCTAGCCTAGTTATGCTGAGATGTATAGGGATTTATCTATTTCTCATTCTTACGTGTCCTGGCATTTTTCGGTTACTGCAATTGATCAACCTTATACTTATTCAACTTGTAGGTTGTTTACAATGCAAATTAGTTACTGAGATTGATCAACCTTGTACTTATTCAACTTGTAGGTTGTTTACAATGCAAATAATTTAGCTAAGTTGGTTGAAAAGAAGAAGAGCTACAAAAATTGGCTCACATACTACCAAACTAAGTATGAGAGGAACCCTAAGATCAAGCCAAAAACGAAGGTACTTTCTTTTTCTTCTTTACCTTATTACCTTTCTAAACCCCAAAGCGTAGTTTATTTTCATTTCCTGTTTGTTTTCTTGTTAAGTTTAGTGAGTCAATCATACATAACGAATCTCATGTTCAGTCATGTATAGACAGGAGTTTGGGGCCTTTGGGGAAAAACTGTGGATGCCATCGACTATTATACCACAGAAATTGAGAAGTTGAGTAAAGAAGTAAGTGTCTCTGACTGTTGTATCTTATTTCTCGTTGTTCTTTATGAATTCATCTGAATAAGTACTTTTTTTGCTTGAAGTATTTCTTTTCTTCCATTTACATGCACCACTGTTTTAAAGTTCTTCATGGGTTGGGTTATACTTCCAATCGATTCGTTCTATGCTAATGCCATAACTAATTCATATTTACAAATCACGTTCTTTCTTTCCCATCAAATGAGCTGCATGTTGGAAACCTCAAACTGATTTTGAACACTGGAGGTTTGTTAAGAAAAAACAATAAGCATTGTAGTTATGGCATACATGATCAAATCTGGAAAGATAAATGAGTCATTGAGGACTATTTAACAGGTACATACAAACCTTCAGCAGGGCCAAAGATTTAATTAGAGTACATGCTCATACATAAAAATGTGACCTTTCAGATTTTTCCATATTTTAAGCACCATCTTGAAAAAAAACGTGTTTCAACTAGCTCTTTTGAACTTAGAGCAAAGAAGGTGATTTCTCCTGACAGACCTTGCATGAATTGGGCCAAATGTTTGTTCTCGCTAATATTTGTTGTTAGCTAGAATGCGAGAAAATATTCTCAGCTTCTTTTGACGTCTCTTGTAGATATGATGATTCTTGGATTTAAAGTTGAGAAAAACATAACATAACCTGTGGTAGTATTGGTAATTTTATTTGCTGCGTCTAATTTTGTATGTTAGCTTGTACAAGGAGATCGTAGACCAATTTACGTTGAAATAAGACATAGGTTCTCGTCTTTACTTTCTCTAAAAACTTGCTAAGCTTGTCAAAGATTGGTTTTAATTAATACACATTGTATCATGAATATCTTTGCAAAATAAGATGATTTGCCAATATCAAGAGAATTATGGGCAACCAATTAGCAACAATTGGTAATTTTGCTAATGGAAAAGGCTTGAAGTTTAGCAATTAATATTTGGATTTCCTGTTGCATTATGGTAATAGACTAACCCTTTGATGTAGGAAACTATAGAAAGAGAAAAGGTAATGAGTGATCCCAAAGCAATAGTTCCTGCAGCATTCGTTTCATTCAAATCTCGTTGGGGAGCAGCTGTCTGTGCTCAAACACAACAATCAAGTAACCCAACCATTTGGTTGACACAATGGGCTCCTGAACCACGTGACGTCTATTGGAATAATCTTTCAATACCATTTGTTGAACTCAATATCCGCAAACTGCTAATGACTGTTGCTTTCTTCTTCCTTACATTCTTTTTTATGATCCCTATTGCATTTGTTCAATCTTTGGCAAGCATTGATGGTATAGAGAATAAACTTCCCGTCTTAAGGCCATTGATACAAATGTAAGTGCTTGTCTTACTTAATGATTTTTTCACTTACTAAAAAAAGTGATCTTATGCTGTTAAGTTAGTAAAATGTGGTACTAGTGTTTATACATAAAAGAGAAAAAATGAAACAAAGCAATTTTTGAAATGCTGTTGGGTTGATGGATGATTATACCATAAGAATATTTGTACCCTTTCCATATAAGCGTTCAGGTTACCAGATGCACTGAACTAGAGGTCTATGTTATACTTTTATACTCTTTTCAGTAGTCTCGCATTCTCTCTTTTGTCCTTTCAAAATCTTTTCCTGGGGAAGGTAAGCAGTTTAGCTGACTTATCTAGAAAGACAGACACCATGAAATTAGCATCAGACTTCTATATTTGCACTTGAGGACGTCTTTAGATATATTAGTTGAGGATATTATGTATTTAAGAAATCAATAATTGGGTTCTTACTTCTGGACATTTCTGTTACAGGGAAGTTGTCAAATCCTTTATCCAAGGTGTTCTTCCTGGGATTATATTGAAGATCTTTCTAATTCTTCTTCCTATGATTCTAATGGCCATGTCAAAAATAGAAGGCTATACATCACTATCATCTTTGGACAGAAGATCAGCGACTAAATATCATTTCTTTATCCTTGTCAACGTGTTCTTGGGAAGTATCATCACTGGAGCAGCCTTTGAGCAGCTTCAGAGATTCGTGGATGAGCCTCCATCAGAGTGAGTTTCTACTGCTTGTCTAAATGGAAGCCATGAAATGTTGACGGATCTTACTGTTGGACTGCTAGAAAGAAACCAAAAAATTTAAATGAAGTGGGAATATCAGGAATAGTAGGATGTAATAGGAGCTTGCCTTGGAATATAGTGAGGGAGCCGTGATCTAGACTTTAGATTCAACCAAAGGGCGTATAATTTATCTTATCCACAACAAAGATTTGAAGGATTACATTTTCAACTTCACCATTCCTGAAAATTAAAACAAGAAAAGAGGAAAGAAGATTATATTCACATTATCCAGTGATAAACATGTCACACCTCCTGTGATTATTTATTTCTTGGTTCAGAGATGGAGCTATCTGAAAAAGTAACCTTTTCGCATTAGGATATTACTGTTATCTAGAATTGCTTCTGTCGATTGTTCCATATTGGCATATACTACACTAATTTTGATAGCCGATCCTTGCTTGTGACCGATCTATTATAGGGGGCATTAAAACATAGATGGGGTTATTTTGATGTTATAGTTGTACTTTTTGAATAATATTTCCCCTCAAAGTGCAGTTATCATTATATGATGTTCAGTGAACGCTGCAACTGCAGATGCATTACATTGACCGATCTATTATTGGGCTACATTATGCGTGTTGAGGTATATGAGGCATCAAGAGTTTGGATTATTTAAGTGACTTCAGATATTGAAAGGAGTCTGAACTTGTTTATAGGAAATTCCTTATTAAATACTTCTCTGTGTTTGATATGAAAGGATTTCTTCATTTAAAGGTTATATATTCTATAAGCATTTCTTCTTCTGTCTTGATCATATGCACCAGTTTGTTTAACCTTTTCCATTATGTTCAGAATTCCAAAAACAGTTGGTGTAGCTATGCCGTTGAAGGCTACTTTCTTCATTACCTACATAATGGTTGATGGTTGGGCTGGAATTGCTGCAGAGATTCTTAGATTGGTTCCTTTCATTATGTTTCATCTTAAGAATACTTTTCTGGTAAAGACAGATCAGGATAGACAGCAGGCTACAGATCCCGGTTCGTTGAATTTCTCTGTATCAGAACCTCGCATACAACTGTACTTCCTACTAGGCCTTGTGTACTCAGTGGTCACACCTATACTCCTGCCTTTCATCATTGTCTTCTTCGCGTTCTCTTATATGGTTTTTCGCCATCAGGTATGTTCACTGTTCCTTTTGTAACAGATATTAGATATTTTGTCGAGAAGGTCCCTACGAGATGTGTGATAAATGCGTAATAGCAATGAGCCTAAAAAAATCTAGTGTTCTCCAAAAATTACATTTCGTTTTGTGGATCGCCAATGACGAAAATATAGAATGTGTAGTTTGTATTTTCAGTGTGCAACAAGCCAACAACATTCATTCTGAACAATTGACCCTGCTCTTGATTTTTTTTTTAAACACTTCGTTCCTGCTTTATATTTATGGTAACAAAAACACTTTATTCAGTTAAGGAGATGAAAACCCCTTTACTTATTTATGTCAATAACACATTATTTGATTAAACAAACCCAATTAACTGCTGCTGGAACTATTTTACTGAAATTAGCAGATTTATCTAAAAAAAAAAAACTGAACAAATAGCAGATGTAAGAAGTGTGAAGAATCCAACTTCTACTCATCCCACCGGTTTGGGACTCAACACCTTGCCTCATGAGCAAGGCTGGACACTTGGAGCGTGGATAATTTAAAACGGGGCCCAACATCAGTAAATAATAAGTCGTGATGGACCTGGCTCTGATATTATGTCAAATAATCCAAACTCTCCTCATCCACACAATTCAATACTCCCTCCGTCCCATTTCATGTGACACTTTTTGGATTTCGAGATTCAAACAAGTCTAATTTTGACCGGAAATTTTTCATAGATCTTTTAAACATTTTGAATTATCAAATGTTGTGACTTATAGTACTTTTTATGTAGTTTACAAATATATAAATTTCACTTAAAGAAGTTGAAGATTTCATGCGCAAATTCCCGGTTAAACTTAAACTGTTTAACTCTCGAAAAAACGAAAAGTGCCAACATAAATTGGGTCAGAGGGAGTAATATTTATCTCCTATTTTCTCACATGGATCATGGGCCGAATTCAGCCCCAAAACCTAGTACATGAAGGGAGGATAACCGAAGACTATGAGGAGACCAAGGACCTCTTATCCCACAGATGTGTAACTTTAACGCCCCCGCACGCCCAAGACTGGATATTTGGATCATGGACAATATAAGAACAGGAGGCCAACATCGTAAACAATTGGGATGAGCTTGACTAGAAATGGATCTTGGGCCTAACTCAGCTCCAAAAGCTAACTCATGAGGAGGGAGGTTTGCCTAAGACCATATAAGGAGACCAAAGACCTCTGATCCCACTGATGTGGGACTTTAACAAGTACCTAATAAAACAATAGCAGGTCTTCAGAGTGAAAAATGAAAGGATTACTATAACACAAAAAAGAAGAAGAAAAAACCAATTACTATTATACATTTAGGCACAAGAATAAGCAGTACTTCATCACCATATACAAATATATGGTACTTTAATTGCTACTCAGCTCTGCAAGTCACCCCTTAGAAGTTAGATGATGTTTTTTCCGCACTTATTATGTGCTACTTTACCTTGCTTTCTCTTCAGGACAGCTTGAAATTATCAGCTCTTTTATCCATTTCATGCAACTTGAACTATTTTAGATGGTGCAATTTAGTTGGGGTCTTGAACTTCAACATTTAATATTTGCTGTTTCTGCTCCCTAGATATCCATCAAATGGTCAGATACTGAAAATTTTCTCTTCCCTCTAGATCATTAATGTGTACGATCAGAAGTATGAGAGCGGCGCAGCATTTTGGCCAGATGTACATCGTCGTATACTTACAGGTTTGGTGATATCCCAGCTTCTATTGCTGGGTTTGTTGAGCACCAAAAATATATCCAAATCAACACCTGTAATGATTGCACTTCCAGTTTTGACAATCTGGTTCCATATATTTTGCAAGGGCCGATATGAGTCGGCATTTGTAAAATTCCCCTTGCAGGTTAGTGTTTCATTACCTACTGCAAACACGTTGTAAGCGAGGACTACAAGTTAGTAAATAGGAAGAACGAAAAGTTCATATATTTTAGAAATTTGTTCGTTTATTATACTGCCACCGTGCTGGTTCAAGTGCTAATAGGAAAGAATTCAATCTTTACACATACTTCTTACATTTTCCTCTATCTAGAAATGCTATTGACCATGTTTGTCAACTTAGGCTAAGATTGTTAAGTGTCTGGTGCAGGATGCAATGGTGAAGGATACACTAGAACGGGCGACAGAACCAACTCTTAATCTTAAAGCATATCTCAAGACTGCTTATGTCCACCCAGTTTTTAAAGGTGTGGAGTTGGACAGACCGTCAGCAGTTGACGATGAGGAGAATAATCCACTTGTTCCTACCAAGAGATCACGCAGGAATAGTAAGTCTCATTCTGAAGAAGGCGTCTGAGACACGGGCTATAGAGTCAGTTTTGTCACCCAAAGGCAGATAGAAAGAACTTAAAATGAAGTGGTTTCTATTCTTTATTCTGTTCTCCCCACTATAACTTGTGCTGAGATTTCTGCAGTAGAACATGAAACAATCAGAATGTACTGAATGCAGAACTTAAACGCGCGATGATGATGATATCTCAGCTTCAGGCGCGTGTAAATGCTCGCGATATATAGGAGAAAGAAAGATTTTCTTTAACTTTGTTCATACCATCTGATGTTTATGTGCAGAATCCGAAGGCTAAAATGGAAGTGTAAAACTATAATGGTACTTCAATGTCTAAGCAATCAAAGTACAACGTGACCAAAAGAAAGGCCCCTATAATAAGCTCCCAAACATATTAAATTGCAAAAACAAGGTTTGTGTACATCTATCGGACTACATTGGTTATGTTGTTGTAAACATATTAATTTTATGTCTTGCGAATCTTAATTTATAACTCAATAATAGTGACTCTGAACATATATGACACACAAATTGAGTGAATTTATTGTTGTAAAAAGAAAGTAAAATAACCTCATTCCATAATTTTTTTTTTAACTTTCTTAATTTAAAAAAAAACTTTATTTCATAATTTTTAAATGTGAGTAACCACTTAAAAGAATTTAATCAAATGGAGAAGATCCAAAAATATAGTAGGAGGACGTTACACTTTTATCTATTTACCCTTGTTTTGATATTTTAAGTAATGTTTTTTTAAAAATTATTTTTATATATATTTTAACAAATTGAAATTCAAAAGATAGAAACTATTTTGGTTTGAGTGATTTGAATGGGGTCCATGTTTCAATTATTTAACGTGAGATATTTGAATTATTTTGATCAAGCAGAGGATTTAAGAAATAATAAAAGATTTTGTAATATTTATTAAATTGCTTTATTAAAGTCATGTTAATTAATACTTGATTAACTATTTTTTTTTTTATAATAATAGATTAAGTAAGATTCAATAAAATAAAATAAGGATGATATGACATTTATTTGTGATGCATAAAAAAAGAAATAATATCATATAAATTGGAGTAATATTGAAAAAATTCTTTTAATTAAAATTTAAAATATTATTCAATTATTTTTTCCATAAATATATTATGAGATATTTAACGGATCAAGAAGCAGTTGGCCCATTTGCCCAGAAACCCATGTTCAATGGAAGAAATAAATAATTAATTGTATGGTTTTTCGTGTTTTTTATTCTTTAAATAAATTAATTTTTATTTTTATTCTTAACTGAAACATATGTTTATATTTTAAGTATAATATAATTGTGTTTTTTATCCTTTAAATAAATTAATTTTTATTCGACCCTAATTTATATATACTCTTTAACTTTAAATGTACATCGATAAATATTATATTTTGTATAAAATTATTATTATATATATAACTGCATTCTGCTGAATAATTTGTGTCCTACATACCTAAACACTATTTTAAATTACAAACATAATTTGAGAAATATTAGGATTTAAAAATATAAAAATTTATATCTCAAAAAACTATAAAATAATTTGTCTAAAATCATGAGGAAAAAAAAGGGTATATAGAAATAACAGAAAAAGAAACAAATAAATGGACCCAGATTGGCACTGCTCTCAAATTCCTCACATTCCGTTTCTCTGACTGAATCCTAATGGGTATGTTTTCACTTTCTCTCTCTACATTTTTTCATTTTTTCTTACTTTAATTTCTGCTTCAGACTAGATTTGGACTGATTTTTCATGCTAAACTACAAAAAAATTAGTATATTGTTTGTGTTTTGTTCACTTACATTTCTTAATAAAATCCTCAACTGGACTGTTTAAGTGTAAATTCTTCTTTGCTTCCAATTTGATAATAGCTTCAAGTTGTGATAGACTGATACTATATGCTGTACAATCAATTTTGATAATATTTGCTTAAAATGTTTGGTTGACAAAATAAAAAGTATTTAGCAAAACTAATTCATCAATACTAGTAATGACCTTTTTGATGTTATGAATTTTGACCTGATTTATAGGTGGTACTCGTTCTGTTTTAATTTGTTTGTCTGGTTTTGGATTGACTCGGAGTTTAAGAAAATAAAGAAAAGACATTTGAATCTTGTGGTTTTAAAGCGCTAAAGATAGGCAGAATGTATGAATAATTTTGTGATCTGTGGAAATCTAGAATTAAGTAGTTGTCGAAAAAGAAGTAAAAACATTCTTTTTGAAATGGATTAAGAAGAAAATTAAGACGAACAAATTGAAACATGGGCAAGAGTATAAGTTGTTTACTTCAAGTATGTTTTCCCTCCGTTAATAGTTTGAGTCTACTGTTTTTTAAGGTAGTGGTGTATGATTCTTGCTATTTATTTCCGAGTTTTAGTTCATCAGTTACTTCCATTATGGAGTTTTACTCTAGTTGTTCTACCTGTTGAAGAATTCTCGCCAGGGCAACTACCTATTCCAACTCCTTTTCAGATAAGTAGTGTTTGTTTTTGTGTTTTTGCAGGATATGATTAAGAATATGTGATCCACCGAGTTCTATATCTGACCCTGTCATAACATTGAGTGCTGCTAATGGAAACTTCACCAATACAGTTGGCTGTGCATTCACGTTTGTTGAGCTATGGCAGTACTGAGTCAACCAAGTTGGTTCCTGCATCATCAGGCAACCGTGGGAAAATAGTATGCAGTCTAAGGAAGCTGGAATTGGAAGACATGAATTTCTCTGGCATAAGTCGAAATAATGATCAAGAAGCTCCTAGGAGAGCTCATAGACTAAAAGCACTATCAGGATCGAGAATTTCGCTTGTTCCATCTGCAAAAAGGGTTCCCACTTACCTTTTCAGGACAGATATTGGTTGTCAAGTGAAAGTTTTCGTGGAAAAGACAAATGGAAAGTACAAAGTGCTTGTAGAAGTTTTGCCGTTGGAGCTCTCAGATGCACATTCTGAGCTGGTTATGGTTTGGGGTCTTTTTAGATCGGATGCTTCATGCTTTATGCCTCTAGATCTAAATAGACGTGGAGCAGATGGAAAAAGTAGTACTGTTGAAACACCATTTGTGCAAGGACCTTCAGGCAAGGTCACTGTTGAGCTGGATTTTGAAGTAAGTTTAGTCCCCTTCTATATCTCCTTCTATATGAAATCACAACTAGTTTCTGACATGGAAAACTCAGAAATCAGAAGCCACAGGAACACGAATTTTGTTGTACCGGTTGGTCTCAGTTCAGGGCATCCTGCTCCATTAGGTATTTCCTTTCAGCCAGATGGATACGTGAATTTTGCTCTCTACTCACGCAGTGCAAAAGGTGTAGTTTTGTGCTTGTATGATGACATATCAGTTGAAAAACCTTCTTTAGAAATTGATCTAGATCCTTATATTAATCAATCAGGTGATATTTGGCATGCTGCTTTAGATTGTTCTTTGCCATTTAAGACTTATGGTTATAGATTTAAGGCGGCTACTTCTGGGAAGGGAGAGCTGGTTCTTTTGGACCCATATGCTAAGGTTATAAGGAGTGTTATTCCTCGTCAGGGTGGGTCTGAGATACGTCCAAAATATCTTGGAGAACTATGCCTTGAACCTGGCTATGATTGGAGCGGTGATGTCCCTCCTAGCTTACCTATGGAGAAACTAATAATTTACCGCATAAATGTGACTCATTTTACAAAGGACAAGTCCAGTAAGCTACCTGATAACCTTGCTGGAACATTCTCTGGCATTAGCGAAAAATGGCACCATTTGAAAGATCTTGGTGTGAATGCAATGTTACTGGAGCCAATTTTCCCTTTCGATGAGCAGAAAGGACCCTATTATCCTTGGCATTTCTTTTCACCTGGAAATATGTATGGACCTTCTGGTGACCCTCTTTCTGTCATTAAATCTATGAAGGATATGGTTAAGAAATTACATGCTAACGGGATAGAGGTTTTTCTTGAAGTTGTTTTCACTCACACTGCAGAGGATGCACCTTTGATGAATGTTGATAACTTTTCATATTGCATAAAAGGTAGTCAGGATATGAATATTCAAAATGCATTGAATTGCAATTACCCCATAGTCCAACAAATGATTTTGGACTGTCTCCGCCACTGGGTAATTGAGTTTCATATTGATGGTTTTGTTTTTGTTGACGCTTCTTCCTTGTTGAGAGGGTTCAATGGAGAGATTCTATCTCGTCCTCCATTAGTTGAAGCTATTGCCTTTGATCCTATCCTTTCAAAGGCCAAGATGATTGCAGATAATTGGAATCCATTAACCAATGATTCTACGGAAAATTTATTCCCTCACTGGAGGAGATGGGCAGAGATAAATATGAGATTTTGTGATGACATTCGAGACTTCTTGAGAGGTGAGGGTCTTCTAAGCAATCTAGCAACACGACTTTGTGGAAGTGGGGATATCTTCGCAGGTGGACGAGGCCCTGCATTCTCTTTCAATTATATTGCCAGAAATTCTGGACTTACACTTGTTGACCTGGTTAGCTTCAGTAATAGTGAAGTGGCTTCAGAGTTAAGTTGGAATTGTGGACAAGAAGGCGCCACGACTAATAGTATTGTCCTAGAGAGACGACTTAAACAAGTTCGTAATTTTCTGTTCATATTGTTCATTTCTCTAGGTGTACCAGTACTTAACATGGGAGACGAGTGTGGTCAGTCTTCAGGAGGTTCCCCAGCATATGATGCTCGAAAATCTTTGAATTGGAATACTTTAAAAACTGGTTTTGGGACTCAGATTGCCCAGTTTATTTCATTCTTGAGTAATTTAAGAATGAGAAGAAGTGATCTTCTTCAAAAGAGAAACTTCTTGAAGGAAGAAAACATCCAGTGGCATGGGAGTGACCAATCTCCTCCGGTATGGGATGACCCGTCTAGCAAATTCTTGGCTATGACTTTGAAGGCCGATGCTGAAGTCAGCCATACATTACTCTCTGATATCGGAGGTGACCTGTTTGTTGCTTTCAATGGGGCTGGTGATTCAGAGAGTGTTATCCTTCCACCACCTCCAACAGATATGGTATGGTATCGTCTCGTTGACACAGCCCTCCCTTTTCCTGGGTTTTTTGATGAGAAGGGAACTCCAGTTGAAGATGAATTAGTTGCATATGAGATGAAGTCTCACAGCTGTGTGCTGTTTGAAGCTCAGAGACTAACTGAAATAGATTCTAGCAAGTGAAAGAAACAGATTAAGTCTTTCTTCTAAGAGGCAATAGTTTGTAAAGCCCCCAAGTATATGTATGTCTAAATAAGAGGATTTTTTTTTCTGAATAAATAAAAAGTTTTTACTGAGAGTTCTTGTGTCTAAACATTTTCTTTTGCAGCTTCAAATATGTAAAGGATGTTTGTAATGTAGATCAAATACAGTGAAAAGGATGTTGAAAAGATAGACATACAATTATGTCTTTAACATTGCTAATACCATATTTTGTCACCTACTAAACATACATAAT